TCTTCCCTCTCCTCCCTCAGCAGCCGCTGATCTACTTTCTGTTCTGCTGGGCTCCTGCGTGAGCGGAGTGCTCAGTGCCCGCCCCTTCATTGTGGTCTCCCCTGGTGTGATCGGTGGACCTCTGCACACTGTTACCTGTTCACCAGTGGGTGTTCTGCTGGCGAGGAGCAGTGTGCTGCAGGGGTGTATCACAACACACTCGCCCTGTCATCTGTTCATACTGGGGATGTTTCCAGCTTTGGGTGAATTGCTATAAACAGTTGTACATAGGCTTTTGTGTGAACGTGTATCTTCTTTTCCCTTGGGTAAGTGCTAAGTGTGGGCTTGCTAGATCATCTGGTAAGTGTGCAGTTAGCTTCTTAAGAGACTGCCAGACTGTTTCCTGAGTGTGCCATTTTACACGCCCAACAGCAGCGGGTGATAGCTCCAGTTCCTCCATGTCTTGCACACATGCTCTGAGATTGGGCTTTTTCTGTGAACGCCCTTACTGCAGTAATCAGCACAGTGACAGCGAGCCCTTTAGAGCCTTCAGGGACACAGCCTGGTGGGATCCGCGTGCCTTGTTCACCACCACTAGATCAGCATAACATAGCGTAAAAGCAGCTGTTGTCCCTGCTAATTTCTTTTTTTTTGGTTTTTTTCCGGTACCGGGAATCGAATTCACGACCTTGCACTTGCCAGGCAGGTGCTGTGCCGCTGAGCTAAATCCCCAGGCCCGCCCCTGCTAATTTCAGAACATTTTAATCACTCTAAAAGAAGTCCTGTACCCTGTATTTGTGCATAAGTTTTTGTGCAAACATAAGTCTTAAATTCTGCAGGGTGTACATTTGTGTGAAGGAATGGATTCCTTCAGTGTTTGAAACACGTTGGGAGTCTGCCGAACTGGTTTCTGAAGCAGCTGCACCATTTTACATTCCACCAGCCACTCATAAGGGTTCCAGTTCATCCCACCCTGCTGATGCTCCGTGTCTTTTTTTTAAACAGTCACCGTAGGTGTGAAATTGCATCTGATTGTGGTTTTGCGTTTCTTTGATGGCTTATGTGAGCATTCTTTTACGTGCTTATTGGCCACTTGTTTTTTGCCTGGTTTTGTTTTGTCACCTTTTTTTTTTTGGAGACGGTCTCACTATGCAGTTCAGGCTGACCTCGAACTCACCCTCCAGCCCAGGCTGGCCTCAAACTCAAGGCAATCCTACTGCCTCAGCTTTCTGAGTGCTGGGACTACAGGTGTGCGCCCCCAGGCCTGGCTTTTTGTCCCTTCAAATCCTTTGCCCGTATCTTTCCTTTCCTTTCCTTGTGTGGTACTGGGGATTGAACCCAGGGGCTTTACACAAAGTGACATTCTTATCCTTTTTCTTATTTTTAAAATATTATTATTACTTTTTCTGGGTGTTTTTTTGAGACAGGATCTCGCTATACAGTTCAGGCTGGCCTTGAGCTCACTTTGTAGCCCATGGTGGCCTCGCACTCACATCCATCCTCCTGCCTCAGCCTCCCAAGTGCTGGGATTACAGGCGTGTGCCACCATGCCTGGCTGTTGTTATTATTTTGGTTTTTTGAGATAGGACTAGGATCTTCTTATATAGCCCCTTGGAGTGATCCTTCTGCCTCAGCCTCCCTCTTCCTGGGATTATAGGTGTGTGCCACCATGCCTGGCTTATTTTTTTACTTTTAGACAGAGTCTCGTTGAGTTGCCCAAACTGGGTTCAAACATGTAGTCTCTTGCCTCAGCCTTCCAGAGTGCTGCAGGTAGGTACCACCTTGCCCTGCTCCCTTGCGTATCTTTAAATTAGGCTGTATTTTTATTTTTGAGTTATAAGACTTTTTTATATTCCATATTCAAATTCTTTATCAATTTTTCCAAGGCTTGATGGCATCTTTTTTTTTTTTTTTTGGTGGTGCTAAGGAATCAAACCCAGGGCCTTGTTCATGCAAGGCAAGAGCCGTACCGCTGAGCTGCATCCCCAGCCTGGCCCCCCTTTTGAGACAGGGTCTCACTGTGTAGCCCAGGCTGTGCTCAAACTCAGTGATTCTCCTGCCTCTGCCTCCCTAGTGCTGGGGTTACAGGTGTGGGCCACCATTCCTGCTTTGATAGCATCTTTTGAAGCAAAATATAAAAATTGTGCATTTCAGTGCAGTTCTGTTTAGCCTTTTTCCTTTGCTGCCATGCTTTTATTGTCCGGTGGGCGAAGCCGGCACCTGGCACAGCCTGGGCACAGCGCAGCACTGAAGTGCTGAGGCCGTCCTTCCCGTAGTCGGACTTCCCAGAGACGGGCGCCCAGATGCAGCCCAGACCCACTTACCACACAGTGCCAACTCTGTAATAAAAGCTGAGTGCTGAGGTTTTAGTTTATAGTAAACAACTCATACATTAACATGTTTTGTCTTAAAACTGCAATAACAAGCTTTGAATGTTAGCGCTTTTTATTGAAAGGTAGAAGTTTGCATTTGGTGTGCTTTCACCCAAGGTGTGTTACAGCAAAAATTCGGGCTGTATTCCGCAAGAGACCAAAGAGAACAGACAAAGTTTTAATTTAGACCGGTCACCTCTCATCCCGACTTGCAAGTCAGGGAAGTGGGCTTGTCTTTGTTCCCAGGTTATATACATTTTTGGTTTCCATGGTAACAGAAAGGCATGTTGTAGCTTGGTCACATGTTGCTTTCCTTGTGCCGTGTAACCGGGTCAGGCTCCGGTCATGAGCCCAACCACAATGATATATACTTTCTGTACTCTGTTCTGTATGTCCCTGTTATGGTTTGTGTCTGGGTGTCCCCCAAAGCCTCATGCGGCCATGGGGCAGGCTTTTTAGAGTTTGATTGATTATGGGTGTGAGAGCTGCACCCTCCCTGGGGTGGATAGTTTGCATATGTAAGGGAGAGCAAGAGGCTGCTTGGGGCCATTTCCTGGCTTTTGTGCTTCTGGCCATTTTTTCCTCCCTTGTGTGTGCTTGTTGCTTTGCTGTGTTCTGCCATGAGCTGTAGCTCTCTGCCGTGTGCCACTCTGCCTTATAATCTACCAAGTACGGACTGAAACCTCCACAAACTGTAAGTGAAATAAACCTTTCCTTCCTTAATTTTGGGAGTCAGGTATTTTGTCCCAGCAACGAGAGAAAAGTAACCAAGACAGTCCCCCTTTAGATAACCGTACATTTCCTTTAGGGTTACAGTGTTTACCTAGGGCCAGGAGATGGAACTGCCCAGGCAGGGTCACGGAGGGTTATGTAGGCCTAGGTGCCCCCTTATCTTGGGGAGACATTCCTGCGCAGTGTTGATCTGGGGAATTAGCTCTTACACTGTCCCGGAAGGCTTCCCAAGGCACCATGTAGGCTTTTACCAAAACTGTTTTATCTAAAATAATATGCTAAGATTCGTTGCCCCTCCAGGTGGTCTCTGCTGTTGATGTGTGCTGATGATTTGTCAGACCTTGGCTCACACTTTGTTGGTTTGAGAACAACACGTGCAGCACTCCTATAGTCTGTCAGTTTCTTTCTTATGTCAGATTTGATCTAATTAAAGCAAAAACAGCTGCTCACAAGCAAAGATAATCCAAACAAAGTAAGAAAAGCAGTCCCCTGCCGGGTGTGGTGGCGCACACCTGTAATCCCAGCTTTTCTTTTTTTTTTTGTCTTTTTGAGACGGTCTCACTATGCACTTCAGGCTGACCTCGCACTCACTTTGTAGCCCAAGCTGACCTGGAACTCACAGCAGTGCCCCTGCCACAACCTCCTGAGTGCTGGGATTATAGGCATCTGCCGCCATGCCCAGCTAAACGCATTTTTAGATTTGGAAAATATTTCAGCTGCCCACTTTGAAGGTCATTTTCAAAAACTGCAGTTTTGCTGTCACAAAACGTCCTTTCTGCTGTTTTCCCTACATCTTGTGGCTTTTTGGTCAGTACGTTGAAGTGTGGTGTAAAATCTGTGAAAAACACGTTGCTAAGCCAGGCCGTATCAGTGAACTATGGAGATACCTGCTCCTTTTCATTCATTCATTCTTTTTTTTTTTTTTTTATCTGGTACCGGGAATCAAACTCTCGACCTTGCGCTTACCAGGCAGACGCTGTGCCGCTGAGCTATAGCCCCAGCCCCTCCGTTTCATTCACAGACAGCTTGATTTCATCCAGCCAGGCTTCACATCTCTCCAGGCCTCACCAGCTGCCCAGCCACCAGACACCCCTGAATGGGGTACACCATGGTACTGTGCTCATCAAGAGCTGCTTGACTCTTACAAATTTAGCACAAGCCCTGAGGTAATTCACCATGTTTGTGACACTCTTGAGGGTATTGTCTGAGTTTTTTGCTGCTTTCTCCAGCACAGAGAGGTTCTTAATGTATAATACAATGAAACTGAACGACCAAATCTTTTGCTTCTTTAACAAAGAACTTGGGGCTGGGATTTAGCTCAGCAGCACAGCACCTGCCTGGCAAGCACAAGGTCGTGAGTTCGATTCCTGGTACTAGAAAAAACAAACAAACAAACAAAAACGAAGAACTTTATATTGTTGTTGTTGTTGTTTGTCTTTTTGAGACAGGGTCTCGCTATGCAGTTCAGGCTGGCCTGGAGCTCACTTTGTAGCCCAGGCTGGTCTCAAAGTCACGAGGATCCTCCTGCCTCAGCCTCTCGAGTGCTGGGATTACAGGGGTGCGCCACCATGCCCAGCAACAAAGAACTTCATGAAGCCAGATGTTAACCCCACCGTGTAAGGTGCCCCACCACTAGTAATTGAAACCACTTTTTGTGGTCTTATTTCTTGTGACAAAGAAGCTTCCATGACGTTATAGATATCTATCCCTTGTGTTCTTCCAGGCAGAGACACCAATTTCGCCAGCTTTTTTATGAGGTCACCAACAGCATCACGCAGAATTACTGCTAGCCTCGTGTGCTTGTTTATATCTGTGCTTTCATCCCAGCACATGGAGTAGCAGACTGCCTTTTGTGTCAGCGGTGAGCTCCTAACTAGCACCGCTTGCCATGCGCAGGACCCGATCCCTAACAGTATCTCTGCAAAGTGGCCTCTCAGAGATGTGGCGTGTGATTTTATCCTTGTTTGGGAAGTGAGACAGGGAGTTACTTGCAGACAGCGTGGCCATTTTGACGAAGTCCCCACCAGGGATGGACTGCCTGTCCTGTGCACAGTGAAACATGAAAGGTGGCCTTTGTCAGGTGATTTGTTTTAGAAAGATGGTTGCAGAAACTGAGGTTCTGGGGAGGGATCTCCTCAGCTGCCCTTCAGGAAACTTTCCTTTCAGCCTCACCACGATTGGTGACAGACCCTTGATGAGCAGTGCACAGCGCTCCCACCGCACAGAACGCGTCAGCCTTGCCCGTTGTGTCCGTGACTCCGAGGACATCCCAGGCTTCTTGGGATGGTCTCCCACTGTCTGTTTCAGTTTTTTGTTTGTTTGTTGTTTTTGCTGTAGTCATTTTTTGGTGTTTAAGATTTGGAGTCCACAAAAACACAAAATGGGAAAAAAATCCCTATCCCTATCCCTCTACCAAGAACAGCTAACACTTAACACTGAAGAATTGTATATTCCCTGAATCAACTTTTTTGTGACTCTCAGCTGGGTTCTTCTTGAACTTGCCGACCACCGACACAAGGGGGCAGTGTGCTCCAACCGCCAGCACACTGCCTCCCCGAGGGACCCCGGCTCTGAGAAAGGCGTCTGAGTGCATTTCCTACCTTGTGGGGCTTCTGCTGAAATCACAGCCAGGCCTAGCAAATGTGTGCACAGTATCCTTGCTCTGGTTTTCATTAATTCTTCACAGACAAATGTGATGCTGCAGATTCAGATAGGCCAGGGGGCAGCAAAACGTTAAAAGAATCTCAGTCTCTTAATTAGAATAGTTCTTTGCTAAATCTTTGATAATAAATTTTAGTTTTTCGTAAGAAAGCCCAAAACTAAAATCTGTGTTAATAAGAACAAATGTATTAAAACTCACAGCCAGTCCAAGCATGCACGTATGCATGCACACACACACACACACCCACACACCCACACACACACACGCACACACACGCACACACGTCCTCGGCAGCACACTGGCCACGCGGAGAGCCTCAGCTAACGAGTTCCTCCCGAGCGTGTGCGTGGCCACTGTGCGCTGTGCTCGGCTCCGGGTGACGCGGCTTGCACGGCAGCAGGGAGCCCCTGTGGGCTGTGCGTACGCACCGTGGCACACGTGCCGTGGGTCGCCACCGTGCAAGTCCATTTGAAGCTGCACTCCGCCTTCCCCTCCAGGTCCCCCGGGGCTTCTCTCTCATTCCAGCTTTCTCTTTGCGTAGGGAAGGCGGCCTTCGCATCACTTCTGCTTCCCTGTCCTGCCAGTTGACAAAATCAGCAAAAGTAGATTAGCGTCTTTCCCAATCCCAGATTCCTGAGGAATAATCACTGTAGCCAGCTCAGGCCCCGTCTACGCCGTGACTGGGATTGGGCCAGCTTAGGGAGCCATCAGGCCGGCCGCCTCTGGGGCGAGGATGCAGGACTCAGAAGGGTTGTTGGGCTCCAGCCAGGCGGACGCTCCGGAGTCCATTTCCTGTCGGTGAGGTTGTGCCGGGGTCCCTCGGGGAGGCAGTGTGCTGTCCTTCCCAGCAGCACGTCCGTTCCCCACCCAGCGGAGGAGCAGGAGGGGGGTGGCAGGCAGGGGGCCCTGGTGTGAGGTCGCTGGAGCGCCCCTCACAGAGGAGAGTCTGGAGCGGCCTCCTTGGCCGCATGGGGCGGGTGAGGCTGTCCAGCTCGGCCTTCCAGGATGAAGAAAACGGGACTTTCTAGCGGGGTGGGGACACGAGGGTCAGTGGGCTCCAAGGGCGCCCTGCGGCTAGGCATCGCGGGAGGGCTGCAGGGGACTGCGGCGGCAGGCTGCAGTCGGGGTGGACGTTCAGGTGTTCCAGGCAGAGCGGGGAAGTTGTCCATTGTTCAGGCCGTTCCTGCCCGGGGCTGGGACGGGGGCCTGAGGAAGAGGTGATGCTGTGCACGCGGAGATGGTGGGTCTTTTTCTGAGCTCAGGACTTTCGTTAACTTTCTTAGATGATTTTTTTTTTTTAAAGATCATATACTGGTGGGCGTGGTGGTTACACCCCCGTAATCCCAGCCACCGCGGAGGGTGAGGTGGGAGAAACAAGTTCAAGGCCAACCTGGGCAAGTTAGGAGATCCTCTCCCAGAAAGGCCTGGGAATTGGCTCCGTGGTAGAGTGCTTGCCTAGCGTATGCGGGCCCTGGGCTTGAACTTCAGTACTTCAAAAAATTACTTCAAAAAGGTGACAGCCCATACTTTCTCTGAAACTAGGTGCCCCATTACTTCATACCTGAGGCGGGAATCTGGAGCCGGGAGGCTGCAGGCGGCCCCTCAGAGGCCGCTCTCTCCTGCCTGAGTGGAGGCGCCTGGGGCCGTGGGGGGCGTGCGTGTGACCCGGGCTCTGTGTTCCAGGTCGTGTATGAGAGGTGTGAGAAGCTGCGGCCCACGCTCTTCCGGCTGGCGAGCGACACCACCGACGACGACGACGCGCTTGGTAACACAGCTGTGTCCCCGGGGCGCGGCGGGCACCCCCGAGCAACACACGCGGCCTACGTGCTGTGTCCCCGGGCGCGGCCTGCGTGCTGTGTCCCCGGGCGTGGCGGGCACCCCCGAGCAACACACGCGGCCTACGTGCTGTGTCCCCGGGCGCGGCCTGCGTGCTGTGTCCCCGGGCGTGGCCTGCGTGCTGTGTCCCCGGGCGTGTCGGGCACCCCCCGAGCAACACACGCGGCCTGCGTGCTGTGCTGCTGCGGTGCCAGGAACGAGGCAGAAGGAGCTCTGGGTTCTGTGCGGTGGGGCTGGAAAGGGGATGGTTTCAGCTGACTTAGAACTGACTCTCGGAAGAACCTAGGTCTGAGCAAGAAATCAGCAGATCTAGAATCCTAAAGAGATGACGTAGGCATGTGACCAGTTGCGCAGAGATTAGGACCAGTGCGTACCCGCCCCCAGGTTTCTTTGTTTTTCTTCCATGGAAAATAGGCCCCTTTACTCGTAAAGTGCTGTGAAGTTGCTGATTGCATCTCCCTTTGACACTTAGTGTTTTTCTGTTCCTGATAGTTCTGATAATCGCCAGTTAGAGCAGGGGCTAGATCAGGTTAGCAAGAATTTTGACCAGGTGTTATGGCTCATTCTTTTTAATCCCAGCACTGTGGGAGGCTGAGGCAGGAGGATTGAAGATTTGAGCCCAGCATGGGCAATTTAGTGACTCAGAGACCCTGTTGTCTTAAAATAAAACACGAAATGGCTAGTGATAAAAGCTTGCTGCGAAGGCCCGGGGTTCACTTCCCAGTGCCCGGTGTTTTGGGGTGTTGTTATAAAGGTCTGTGGTATCGGTATCTGCATTTTATTTATCATCTAACCCACTATTTTCTCAGGGATTGCAGTGAGGTCAAAGGTAGTCAAATTTAAGTTTGTAAAGAACTGATCGGAGCATGCCGGGTGAAAACACTTGCTGTAGAATTCAGCCCCACGTTGGCAGTTTGCGATCTGTTCATAGCCAGAAATTGGAGGCCACTAAGCAGTTTTTCACTTCCCAGAGGTAATCCCCCGGCACTTCTTTTTGGTGCCAGGAACCGAACTCAGGACCTTGCGCTTGTCAGGCAGACGTCTGTGCCGCTGAGCTCTGTCCCCTGCCTCTCCAGCACTTTGGCCTGTGTTCTACACCCTCCAGCCCTGTGGCTCTTCCTCCTAGACGGATTCATTGGCACTGAAGCCCGACTGGCATGCCTGTGCAGTTTTGGAACCCTGGGTACTTAGGCCATGTTTTAATTTGGATGCCAGATTTTCCTGGGGAGTAACCAGGCCTGCATTCATAACTCTGTGGGATCTGTAGGTTAAAAGCTGACTTCCATAGATCCGTTCTCTAAGTACTTAGAAGCTTTCCAGTGGCTGTGTGAGACGCCTTTAGATTAATTAAAATTAAAAGTGTCAGTCCCTCACTGAAAGAGCCGTAGTTTGGGGGAATTTTTATTTCTGAGACAGGGTCTCGTATGCAGTTCAGGCTGGCTTTAAACTCACTGTGTAGCCCAGGCTGGCCTCCAGTTCACAGCGATCCTCCTGTCCCAGCCTCCTGAATGCTGGAATTACAGGCTTGTACCACCGTGCCCAGCCTGAAAGAACCATATTTTGAGTGCTTACTGTTGGCTATCATGGTGGAGAGTGCAGACGTGGTTAAAAACAACAATCTGTTTTTTTTCTACATTGGGAACCGAGAGTTTCAGGCTCAGGGTGGAGTAACGCAGTCTGGGAGCAGGAGGCACGGATATGCTGAGTCCAGTCGACTGTGTGAAGGCTGTGTTTTAGAATGCTTAGAAGAGGCTGAACTTGTGGTAACTAAACGGGTTCTGGTTTTTCTCTCACTCTTCAGCGGAGATCCTGCAGGCAAACGACCTCCTCACTCAGGGAGTTCTGCTGTACAAACAGGTGATGGAGGGTCGTGTCACCTTGGGGAACGCAGTGACCAGCACGGTGGGAGACACGCCCATCTCCGGAGGTACGTGTGAGTTCGAAGAGCTGTTCGCTGCCTTCTGCCTTGCGGCAGCCCAGCACCTCCCAGGGAAGGAATGGACCCGCGGGGCGTTTGGGGTTGGGTGTAGAATTGAGAACTTGTCCCCGTCCCTCGCTGTGGAAAACGTCCTCCGTGGTGGTGGTGGCCCTGGGCCCGCTGTGTCAGGGTCACTGGGTAGCAGACTCTTTGCTCTCAGCATTGACCTGAGTCGAGGCTGCTCAGAGGTAGACCAGGTTGTCTGTGCTTATCAAGCACTGTAGATCAGAAACTTCCAAAGGACTTACCTGGAGCAGCAGCCGTGTCTGCTGGTGCCCAGGCTGATGGGACCTTCGGAAGAGAACCTACCTCTAGGGTGGGAAGCAGTCCTCTGCCTGCCTCGCTGTCCGATGCAGGCTCGGCTGTGTTTGCGCTAAGTGGGAGGTGGATCCGGAGGTGTGTGGAGGTGGGAGAGTGGGTGAGGAGGGAGAGCCCCAAGGGTGCTCTCCCTTCTGGCCTGTGTGTCCTATCCTGTCCATTCTGCAGCCTTCCAGAGCCCAGCAGCCTGCGTGAAGAGCTGCCCCCTGATTGACCTGGAGGTGGACAGCGGCCCTGGGCAGGACGGGCCTGTGGCATCGTCTTTGCTTCATCAGGACCTGGCAGCCTTGGGTGAGCGGGGTTGTTAGAAGGGGCAGGCACAGCGGTCCTGAGCAGGGAGCGGGGAGGTGGGTCTGTCTCAGGAGCACAGGCCTGCTTTCGGGGAGCCAGGGGTTCCGGGCAGCTCAGAGAAGCCCCTGTGCACCTGAGTCTCGGATTAGCCGTGGGTGCGTGGAGTGCTGTGGGGGGCCCTCTTTTCTCCTGACCTTGAGAATGTCCTCAGAGGGCGGGTGTCCCTCGGGTCTGTGTCTCTGCAGGTGGGGTACAGTTGTCACCTTTGTCCTTTCCTACAGGGCTCAGTGACACTCCCGTCCCGGGCAAGGTAGGGAGCTTCCCCTAGGGGCGAGGCGGGTGGAGGGACCCTCAGACTTTGACCGGCTTGGTGGGCTTGCAGTTCCAGAGCCCCTCCGCGTTCATTCTCTCCAGTTCGTGCCCCAGGGAGCGACCTCGAGTCCCTCTCCCCGTCTCCCACTGTACCAGGCTTCTGCTTCCGAACTGTCTGCTCAGCAGGCCGCTTCTCTCCGGCTTTGCGTTTCTCCTTCTGCCGCAGGACCCACACTAAGCCTGGGAGTTGGGGGAGTGTGCCGTGGCGCTCCGTGGCCAGTGGTTGGGAAACTCTAGCCTTATTTTAGCCGTTCCCGTCTGACAGGTTGCTGGTCCGAACTGCTGTACGGAAAAGAAGGGTCCCACCAGCAGCACGCTGCCTGGAGGTGGTCTTCAGAGCCCTGCTGCGGACAGGAGCTTGCTGGACCTCCTGTCCCCACAGCCTTCTCCGGGTCCGCTGTGAGTCTTCGGGCACGGGAGGCAGACAGGTCTGGCTTCCATGTAGGGCACCTCGTGCACAGAGCCTGGGGCAGCCGGGACGGCCAGGGCCCCGCCCTCCCAACTCAGGACGTCCCGGCTGGTGGCTGCCGCCGCGCGGCCGCCCCCTCTCCCCACCTACTTCCCTCATCCGGCACGGCGAAGTGCGCGCTTTGGCCAGGACACCCGACACAGGGTTCTCGAAGGGCTGCAGAAAGCAGCAGACGTATGTGTTCTTCTCAATGGCTGTGTAATTTGGAATTAAGCAGAACTTGATCCTTAGAGCAGTCTGTAGTGGGGCCCTAACTGCCGCTCCCTAAAAACAGTGGGGAACGCTCCGCCTTTGCCCTTTTTCTGTAAGTGGTAGTGATGCAGTGTGGCTTATTTTTATGGAAATGGCATCCCCGTTTATAAACTGTACTCCACTGTGACTTTATGTCGCATTACACCCTTGCCACTTTTTGTTTATATAAATCTGCCTCATTTTCTTTAATAGCTACATTGTAACGGATTGTGTGGGCTTGTTTATTTTTTTCTCTTTAGTTTGGATATATTTAATCATTTCCCTCTTAATGAATGGATATCGTGTGTGTGTGTGTGTGTGTGTGTGTGTGTGTGTGTATTTTTCCCTTCTCATCTTGTTCTTTATTTTTTTTTTTCATCTTGTTCTTTAGAAAGTCTAATCACAGATTCTCAGAATTCTGTACCATTCTTGGTCATCTTTGATGCCTTTTATTTCTTTGTAGGAATTATATTCCACAGAAAAGTATCCCCAAGGAAGTGCCACCAGGTACTAAATCATCTCCAGGTTGGTCCTGGGAGGCCGGCCCATTGGCTTCTTCGCCGGCCTCACAAAATACACCTCTGGCTCAGGTGTTTGTCCCTTTGGAGTCTGTGAAGCCCAGTAAGTACAGCTGTACCTCTTTATTTTCTTTTTCTGTGTTAGACTCCTGGCTTGTCCGTTCCAAATTGGTAGGAGTGGCCCTTAAGTTTGGGAAGATGAGTCAGCTGCTCTGACTTCCAGCTGATACTTTTTCTGAAGTCTTGTCTGTCACTGTGAACGACACTGGCAGGCAGGACTTAGTGAGGGGCTGAAGTCTTCTGTGGGACGTGTGTACTCGCGTGGAATTCAAGGTGCTGTACTTGATATGGCCTGAGATGACAGAAGGGGTAGACGCTGGAAGGAAGACTTGGCTAGCAATCTTCTCTCTAGGGATCCTGTTAAGTAAGAAAAGTGGTATCACCTCCATTGTAAAAGAAAGGCAACCAAAAGACCCAGCCACTGAAGGTGACACGTGTGGTCAGCATAGTAGGTCTGGAGCAGGAAACACGCCATGTGCTGGGCTCCGGGGCTGTGCTCTTCTGGGGCAGAGCCCCTGGGGAGGGCGGAGCGCAGAGGGCCTAGAACCAGGAAGGGGAGTTTAAACATGTTTGGTGGATACCCTTTGCACATCTGCTGGAGTAATTTTTGATTGAAAAAATAATGCATATTTGTTGTTAATTTCCTGTTTTAAAAAATTACTGCCACAGTCATGTAAGATGGTAACATTTAGAGGAGCTGTGTGAAGTATATGGGAATTCTTGTATTAGTTTTGTAACATCTTATAAGGCTGAAATAATTATAAAACCACCTTAGAAACATGATATTAAAAGAACATGTTCAGTGTGAGCCTCCTCCTCCAGCTTGCCAAGTAGCGGGGATCGAGGTGTTAGCCTCCAGCCCTGCTGATGCCCTGTACACTCTCCTAATAATTAGGCCACTCCTTTACAGTAGTGAAATGCTCAGGTAGCCAATTTAAAAGTTGGATCTGCACTGTCAGTTCCCTTCCACCGGGTTGCCTTTTTCCCTGTACTCCCACTACCACTAAGACTTCAGCGGTATTTTCCAGGCTTTGCAATTCTTGACGGTTTCATAAAACTATATATTTTTTATTTTTTTTGTACCAGGAATCGAACTCGGGACCTTGCACTTGCCAGGCAGGTGCTGTGCCACTGAGCTATATCCCCGGCCCAAAACTAGATTTTTATAATACACATTTTCATAAGTGATGTTTGGCATGTGGTGTGGATCTTTAATCCTTAACAATGGCCTCATGCTCTGCCGTGCTTGCCTCTGAGTGAAAGTTCTTCCTTGAGACAAGCTGCAGAGTGGGCATGTTTTACTCGATTTTTCCACTATTGGAGAATAGGTTTTGTTTCCCGTATTTTCAGTCTTTTGTTTATAATTAGTAATTGTGAGATGCTCCTTTTTTTTTTTTTTTTTTTTTTTGGTACTGGGAATTGACCTCAGGATTTTGCGATTGCCAGGCAGGCGCTTATGCTGCTGAGCTGTATATTCCTGGCCCAAAATGCTCCATTTAATGTTTAAAAAAACGGGGAGAAAAGTCAGGCTTTAAATGTATGCAAGATTAATTCTGTAGTAGAAAAAGTATGGTCCAAAATAGCAAAAGTAAGACCAGGTAAAACGTAGTCTTTTTTTAAAACAGCAACAACAACACATGTGCATGATCTTTTTTCTGTGTTTCTTTTATTCTACTCAGTAAATACGTCTTTGATGTAAATGCAAAGTATTTCTTTTTGATTAAACCGTAGAAGTAGACATTATAGTGTAACTCAATACTATAATAAAAAAAAATTCAAACTAAAAAATTTCCCCAGATGGTCAGTCACTTGGATGCTTTTTGTTTTGTTTTGTTTTGTTTTTGAGGCAGAATCTCACTGTGTAGTTCAGGCTGGCCTTGAACTCACTGTGTAGCCCAGGCTGCCTTAAACTCATGGCAGTTCTCCTGCCTCAGCCTCTCAAGTACTGGGATTACAGGTGTGTGCCACTCTGCCCGGCTGGGTGCCATTTATTGAAACAGCCACTGATCTTCACAGTATTTTTTCTTTATGTTAAATTCTCATGTTTGGGTCTGCTCCACATGCTCTGTTTCATACCACTTTACCTGAATTGGAATTCTATCTCTGTTTGCAGTACAAACACAGGTATCAGTGGCCTTTTTATTTGTTGGTTAGTCTTGTATATATTTGCCCCGCCCTGCATTAACAGTAGAACCACTTCTTAGTTGAATTAAAACAATCTTCTCAGTATTTTCATATTAAATCTGTTACTTAAGGCTTACTTTCCTTATACTTTTGTAAAGCTGAGTGTAAGGATGGGTGTGGTCACGTGTAGGCAGCCATAGGAGAGAGGCCGGAATGAAATAAGCCTCAGTGTCCGTGCTGCTTACTTCTGGGTCATCCAAAGAGCGTTTATTTCTTGGCATTTTGTATTTTCTGTAGTGTTCAGGCATTATTTTAATCATAGTTGTGTTTCCCTTGGAAAGGTTATTTTTTAAAAAACCTGCTGAAGTGCTTAGGATGGTTGTGTGATGAAGAGAGGTCAGTTTGGAGGGCTGTGGGGGTCCAGAGACACGTGAGGACTCGGCTCACGGTGGTGTGGAAGGGTTCAGTCCAAGAGCTGCAGAAGCAAGGGCAGTGCTGATGACGTGCAGATCTCTCGCGCCTGGCTGTCGTGAGATGCGCAGTGGTGCTAACCCTTCTGGTTGGGTCCTCTCTGCCAGGCAGCCTACCTCCTATTATCGTGTATGACCGCAACGGCTTCAGGATTCTGCTGCACTTCTCCCAGACGGGGGCGCCGGGCCACCCGGAGGTGCAGGTGTTGCTGCTGACCATGATGAGCACAGCCGCCCAGCCTGTCTGGGACATCATGTTCCAGGTGGCGGTGCCAAAGGTGAGGCCCTTGCTGCTGGCCAGCTGCTCTGACATGTTCATGACGGAAAGTTCATCTCTGAGCACAGGTCCTTTGGTGGGACATGGTTGGTTAGGTAAGAGAGATCGTTCGCATTCAGACTAGTTCGAAGATAAGGTAGAAATTCTATTGCCTGCCTTAACCAGGGGCTCCTGAATATCTGCCTTAAAATACGAGTTGATGCAGGTAGGTTTGTAGATAATTCCTGAGGCATCTCTTTCTGTCTCTTGATGCTGCTTTGCTTTTGGGGACTGTTCTCTGGCAGTCTTCCACAGAGCAGGAGCATGACTGCAGCAGCTCCGGGGATACGTGGTCCTTCACTGTGTAATCACAGAAAGGAAACGCAAAGCCAGCTGCGGGGGGGTATGCCTGCTGTCCTGGCTGCTGGGGAGGCCGAGGTCGGAGGGTGGTTTGGGACCAACCTGAGCAATACAGACTCCATCTCTTAAAGCAAAAGGGAAACTGACCTGTTGTGCAGCACGCATAGTGCCTGTCCAGGGAAGGGACCTGACTGCCTACCTTGGACCAATAACTTGTGGCCAGGGAGTGATGTATCTGGCCAGTTTGGAACATGTGTCCATCCTTTTCCAAGGGAAGTAGGGACCCACTGATTAATAGCTGTAACAGTCACAGGGAAAGGGGCAGGTACTAAAAGGAAAGAGTCAAGGCAAATGTTAGACCTGTGTTCTCTAATCTTCACGGTAGACTTAAGGAGTATGTACTGCTTTTTTGTTTTTGTTTTTAAACAGGTTCTTGCTTTGTAGTGCAGGCTGGCCTGGAACTCACAGCAATCCTTCTGCCTTAGCCTCCTGAGTGCTGAGATTACAGGCGTGTGCCACTATGCCTAGCACATGTACTGTTACGAGTTATCAATACAAGTCTCAGAAGTTAAATATGTTGTGCTAGGTCTCAGGGCTAATAAGAGGCAGAGTGAAGATTAACTCTTTTGTTTGTTGATTGCAGTACTGGGGATTGAATTCAGGGCCTTTGTACGGAGTTATGACACAGGGTTTCACTGTGCAGTTCATGCTGGCCTTATAACTCACTTTGTAGCCCAGGCGGGCCCCGAACTCACAGTGATCCTCCTGCCTCAGCCCCCTGAGTGCTGGGATTACAGGCATGTGCTACCGCACCTGGCCTCCTAGCCCTTTCTTACTTTGAGGCCGGGTATTGCTAAGTTGCTAGAATGGGCTGAAAACATGTGACCCTCTTGCCTCAGCCTGCAGCAGTGCTGAGATTACAGACGTGCGCCACCACACTTGGCTTCGGGCCGTGCACTACCTGTCTATGCTGCTTGTCAGATGCCAGCCGTTGACCGTGCATCTTTGGGTACCCTGTGTGGTACCCTGTGTGTGTAGAAGGGAAGGCCTTCTAGGTCGCTTCATTAGTTAACGGGCACTGTCTGCGAACTCCTGTTAGTAAGGCCCGTCTCTTCTCTGAGGGGTGGTGTGGAGGTTCAGCTCCTGTTTCCCTGGTCTCCTCCCCTGAAGCGCAGCTTGTCAAGGGTGAGTGATATGTTGGGTTTTCCCCCGACAGTCAATGCGAGTGAAGCTGCAGCCAGCGTCCAGCTCCAAGCTTCCCGCATTCAGCCCTCTGATGCCTCCAGCTGTGATATCTCAGATGTTGCTGCTTGACAATCCACACAAAGTATGTTCCGATGTCTCTGCTGGCAGGGAAATGGGGACCCCTGGACTGCAGGTGGGGCACTGTGTTGCTGGGGAAAAGTGTCTGAGGCCTTGTGAAGTCTTGGGTCGGGCGGGGTGGGGTATGGAACATCCCTTGCTAGAGTCTGATTTTCTTTGGGGTTTATTAAAAGCAGATCAGTGATGATTGTTGTAGCTGAGAATCAAGGAAGTGACTCCAGTACCATGGAGCCCTCTGACAAAGGGAGTCTGTCTTCCTTAGTCCTTCTGAGTGGCCGTCCGTCCAAGCCCTGCAGAATACAGAAGGCTCACATGTTTGGCTTCCTTGTGTTTGTAATCCCAAAGAGGCTAGGCCAGGGTGTCCAGCTCATACGGTTGCTGGACGTCCTCATCTAGGCTGTTCTGGCGACTCGTGGGTGGATGAGTGGGTTTTCTGGGGCTGGCCTCTGTGTTGCTCCCCTCTGACTGAACACCTCGTGTCTCTTCTATCCCAGGAACCTATCCGGTTACGGTATAAGCTGACGTTCAACCAGGGTGGACAGCCCTTCAGCGAAGTCGGAGAAGTGAAAGACTTTCCTGACCTGGCTCTCTTGGGGGCAGCCTAGCTTTCTCACGAGGTGGATCCTTCGAGTCAAGCTTCGGCCTGTGTTTTTTTTTGCTGTCTTGTCGGGGCTCGTCACGGTGATTTAGTGCAGAGTGCCAGGAGCTCTATCCTGATGTCAGGCTCCGAACGCCGCCTCTGACCTGTGTGTCGTCAGGGACTGGGGGTGGGCGAGCAGGGCTCCGGCCGTGGGCAGGGTGGGAGATGCCAAGCGTTTCTGGCGGCTGTCTCCGCCGCGATCCTGTTTGTGCATGCTTGTGGACACTGATGTCCCTGCCTCAGGTGGGAGGTTTTATAAGCCAAAGTTTTTTTCATGTATTGTTACCTGGTCATTCATCCACTCTGTGCCTTGTCAGCCTTTGAAAGTCTTGGTTGCTCCCAGGCTGCTGTTCTCAGGGACCTCAGAAGGGACATGGTTGGCCTTGGGGCAGAGAGTGTCGTCTGAGGCTCTCTCTACCAAGAAAGACCTTGTCTCCATTGTCATTCACGAATGCTGCTTACGTGTGCCGGGAAGGGTCGGCCCAGACACAGTGCTTGCTGCACTGTTCCCAGCGGAGGGGCCGCCGCGAGCCCAGAAGACCACACTTGGCGAGCCAGTCCTGCCGTCCACCGCCGTGCCTTAGAATGGCCCTCGCTGGAGCCTCTGGGGCAGGGGAGGTCAGACCCCAGGCTCCAAGCAGGCCTCCGGCTCCTTGGGTCGAGCAGCCGTGTGGGCCCTTGCTCAGGACCCTCATTTCTCCTCCCATCCTCCTTCAGTGTCTTCTCAGATCTCGTGACACCATGTTAGTTAGAAATCACAGCTAGCGCGTCGCGTCAGCCCTTGCTTTCCGGCTTCACAGCGCAAGGTGGGGAGCTCTGGTGTAGACAGACGTGAAAAGGGTTCAGTGAGTTAAGTAGGGACTACACATAGAGAGCCATTTAATAAACACCGTGCAGCAAACCTGCCTTCTGGAATGCTGAGTAAATAGGAGGTACACAGCCAGCTGCATTCAGGGTCTAGGCCGGTGGAGAACTGTCTCCTGTGACGAAGGGAAGCTTCACGAAGGACGTGTCTATCACCTGTCTCAGTGAAGAGCAGAGCAGATCTCCTGGAAGATCTGAGGAAAGGGGAAAGTCAGGCTTATAAAGAGTTAATACTTAGTGAGCGCCTACTGTGTGCTAGGAATTAGCAAGTCCTGCTCGGCCAGGTCAGTAGGAGAAGGGACAGGGACGTGAGCCCGGCTGAGATGGAGGGCGGGAGGCTGAGGCGCCTGGGCAGGAGCCTGCCTCAGAGACTGTGATATTGTTTGGAGCTCTCGGTCATGAGGTCTGGTGCTCTGACAGCTCTTCTGACTTCACGTATAATTAGAAATCAGGGCGGTGTGGTGGTGCATGCTTGTGATCCTAGCACTTGGCAGGCTAAGGCAGGACCGCTGCAGGTTTGAGGCAGCCTGGGCTCCATAGTGAGTTCAAAGCAGGCCTGAACTCCACTGTGCAGTGAGACCCTGTCTCAAAAAAATCTGCCAACAGTATTTGGTGGGAATGGCTTTACTAATTTTTAAGCAAATACAAAACGTATAAAACATAAATGGGGTGGGTTTGACATGATTCGTGTAAGACTGAATTAATCCAAAATGATGTTCAGGTGTTCTTAGCTTTCACAGGCTCCACAGCTGTTACCTAGAGTCTTCAAGCAGGACCCGTCACAGCCACCTGTGCCCACGAAGAACTTGCCATGGAACACACAAAAACACAGGCTTTTTCGTTTGTTTTCTTTTTGGTCTTTTTTGAGACAGGGTCTCACGATGCAGTTCAGGCTGGCTTTGAACGCACTTATGTGGCCCAGCCTGTCCTTGAACTCAATGGTCCTACCTCAGCCTCCCGAGTGCTGGGATTACAGGCGTGCGCCACCACGCCCGGCTGAAAACAGGCTTTTTATCCGCTAGCTGGAAGGTGAACTCAGGCGTGTACCTAAGGATCCTCTGTTCCCAGGAGAAAGTGGTGCTCCGCCTCAGCACAGTTGGGCAGAACATGGGCACCACCCGACCCTGAGCCAGGGACTGTTGTGGGCACCGTAGACACAGTGGTGGCAAATGCCCTCCGGAGGGAGATGCGTCAGGTCTGTATCTCACACTCTTAGTAGGTGTCTTTATCGAGGGTGCCTCTGTTCTTCCGACTCCCAGAATAGGTGCATCTCTCTGCATCCGAGACTTAATGGATCCTTGGTTTCTGCTTCGTCTGCATCCACTCAATTCTGTTTCATGTACTATGTTTTCCAAATATCACCACATCCAAGCTGGGCATGGTGCCACACACTTGTAATTCCAGCACTCTGGGAGCCGGAGGCAGCAGGATTGCATGTTCAAGCCCAGCCTGAACAGTGTCGCAACTTAGCAAGACCCTGTCTCAGAAGTAAAAAGGGGCTGGAGCTGTTGTTCGGTGGAAAGGTCTTGAGTTTTAGCCCCAGAACCAGGGAGGAAAAAATCTGAAGTAGGTAACTAGTATAAGACAAAATGGACTATTAAGACAGTATTGCTAGAAGGGCTGGGGATATAGCTCAGCGGCATAAGCCCCTGCCTGACAAGTGCGAGGTCCTGAGTTTGATTCCCAGTACCAAGAAAAAAAAAGGTCTGACAGTATTGCTAGAGACAAAGGTACGTTTAATAATAGTACTTAGATTAATACCTTGGAAGATACAAAAATTACATATGCACCTAACATCAGAGCCCCAAATACCTGCAGCGAAAACAGCAGGAAAATGGACTATTCAACAATAGTAGTTGGAGATTTCAATGCCTTGTTTTCAATAATTGGTAAAAGAACTAGACACAATATCAGCAAGGATATAAAACAGTTGAACACCACCAATCACCAGGTTTACCCAGGACTGCGGATACTCTTTATTAAGTGAACATATATTTTCCAGGACAGACCAAAGTTAGGGCAGTCTCATTACTTGTAAAAGGGTTTAAATCATACAAAGTTTGGGGGTTTTTTTTTGGTTTTTGACATAGGGTCTCACAGGCTTGTCTTGAAAAATCCTCCTGCCTCAGCCTCCTATGTACTGGGACTACAGGTGTGCACCCCCACACCTGGCACAAAGTTTGTCTTATAACCACATAGAATGAAATTACAAATTAACAGAAAATTGAGAAATACTTGATCCATTGGGTTTTTAAAACTGGTATAGTTCAGATACACGTAGTGACCCTCATCACGGGGTCTGTAGCCGTACAGGATGCGTCTTCCTGCTGCTTCCCCCTCTTCCCTTTCAACCTTTTGTCCCCTCCTTATGTGCAACAGCTTTGTTTCCCGTTTTTGTCCCTTTTTCTTTTCCTTGTTCCTTCCTTCCACATTCAGGTAATTCATGGGTTAAGTCACACATGAACTTAGAAAAAAAATTTTTTCCAGACAGGGATTTTGCTATGCAGTTCAAACTTGCCACTGTGTAGCCCAGGCTGCCTTTGAACTTGTGATTCTCCTGCCGTGGCCTCCCAAGTGCTAGCATTATAGGTGTGTTTTACCATGCCCAGCTAACTGGAAAATATTTTGAATCAAATGAAAATGCATCAGAATTTGAGGACCTTAATACTTTTAAGTGGCTGTATCTGAAGACATTTTAGGTCAGTAACGGAAGGTTCCACTTCAGTATACTAGACGAGAGTAAACTAAATTCAAGAAAACAGAAGAAAGAAAACTGATCAGTGAAAAAAATCAGTGACTGAAGCCAGGTGTAATGGGGAACACTGGTAATCCTAGCGTTCAAGGAGGCTGTTGGCAGGAGGATTGCTCAGAGTTTGAGGTTAACTGGAAGTACATGGAGATCCTGCCTCGGGAAAAAAAGATACAAATTAAAAAAAAAAAAAAAACACCAGTAATTTACAAAGGAAAAGACGGCTCTCTGAAGTGACTAATGAAATTACAAGTGTCAGCCAGATCAGGGATCCCTAGCTCCCAGACCCCTGTCCTATCAGAAATGAGGCTGACTAGCAGGTGGTAATCACCCGGCTAGGCAGTGAGGGTTCGCTTGTATTTACCGCCTCCCTCCGTCCCTCACGTTACCACCTGAGCGGCTCCTGTCGGAGGAGCAGTGGCGTTAGGTTCTCACAGGCATGCAGAGCCTACAGCTGTGCCCTTGAGAGATGTAGGTTGCTTCTGATAACCTGAGGGGGAGCTGAGGTGGTGATGCCAGCACTGGGGAGCAGGTGCAAGTGCAGATTAACATGAGCACAGAGATCGGAGTGCACGGTGACTGTAACGGATCAGTTTCTTAGGGACATCAACACCTTATCGGTGAGTAGCAAGTGATAAGTTGCCCCGGGTGGCGAGCTTCAGAGAAGCCAGTGACAGGATGGACTTCAGTTTTCAGTTCTGTATTTACCCGCTGTCCGTGCCGATTTCCCGTAGTACACACTTGCTTCAGTCCGTTTTGGTAAGCCCACAGGCTAACCCTAGCCAAAAAGTATAGAAACCAAACATCTCTGCAGAGTTTCTTTTGAAAGGGGGCAAGACCTAGCGGAAGACTTAATAAAACTGCCAGCAAAAAGGAAGTGCATTTAGGAGAAGATACTGTGAGTCCTTAAGTTACATTGCAGTGTTCATATTCTCCGAGTACACTTATACTCCGTGGTGACACTAGCCAGTGAAGCCATGAAACGTTCAAAACTGCTCTGCTCCATGGAGACCAAGCACCCTGCTGTAAAGGGTGAACTCTGGGAACTTTTCAAAAGAATAAAACGAGCACAAGAAGCAGAAGCAGTTCCTGAAGACCAGTGCCTCATCACAAGTGTCAGCACTGAGAAATCTTCCTTGCTGGGCAACTGCGTTGCTCACGCTGAGGCCCTTGGCTATTGGAGAGACGTTGATCCTCCGTGTGAAGGACGTTGCGAACTTTTAGGAGAGGCTGCGAAAGGTAGCGTGTTTCTTTCGGCCAGCCTCCTAACTAGGTGAACCCACCGGTTCAGAAGACGTAATTGCTAGGGTCCACGAGTCGCTGTGGTGCGCAGTCCAGGCTGAGGAGTCTGCTGATGTTGACAAGGCAACAGCGCTTGCTTTTGTGTAATGTTTTACGTTACGTGCACTTTTGTTGCCAGCCAACACCACAGCTGCAGAACTGTTGAGGTCTTTGATTACGTATCAGGAAAGTTTAACTGGTCATTTTGTGTCGGTATATGCATGGGTAGTGCGGCTGCTGGGACTGGATGGCCTTCTGGTTTCACTGCCGTGGACTCTGAGGCTGTGCTCTGCCATCCATAGAGAAATGCTGTCTGGCCAGATGTCTTCTAGGGCCGGGGATGTGTCTCAGTGGCACAGCGCCTGCCTGGCGAGTGTAGGTCGTG